CATGAAAGGAAAGCTGGGGCACAAGGAGCTTATGCTGGCAGGTGGTGAGTGGCATGGATGGAAAGATAGATTTGGGGGGATCCTCTGTCACTGGGTGAAATAGGAGGTAATGGATCCACGAGGAGTGATCAGGTGGCAGAAGATCAAGGAGAGCGCGGTTTGAGAGGGGACACAGCCAACCCCGCTTGGCCCAGGGGTGCAGTGACCCAGGGTGCTGGTGAGCCCACCAAGGGCAGCACACTTAGCTGAAGCCTGGATGCTATTTCAATTGGGCAACACCATTTGCCAGCAGAGCTGGTGCTGCTGATGGGTCATGGAGCTGAAGCCAGCCCGAGGGGAACCACTAAGGACTGAGCCCCAGAGGGATCACACTGCACCCCTGAACTTCTGGCCTTCACGCTAGAACCCTCTTGCCACCTTGGGGTCAAGTCTCTGTACATTGTGATGGAGACAACAAAAGCACGCCTGCGTGCGCGCGCGCACGCGCGCGCGCGCACACACACACACACACACACACACGTGCCTGCGGGCGCGCAGCATGCCTTAACAGGAACTAGGGTTGTGCCCCATCCCCAGGGCTGTGGCCGTCAGTGATTCATCAAAGATTTTGGAGGAAAGAAGAAGCCTGAGAGAGGCCAAAATAAGCTAAAGAGGCAGGTGGGGGCCAGGCCGGAAGGAAGCCTTTTAAAGACAAGTTTAGCCTGAGAATTGAGCTGTGCATGATGCGAGAAATATGTACTCACTCCACTGGGAAAGACGCCCCCACGAGGCTGACAAGAGTCTCAGTACAGGGCCCGCAGCGTGGGTAGATGTCTGCAGCTTATCCTGCAGGACTTCTCCTGTTTATGGATTAAGTCAGCTACTTGTCCTCTATTCTCTGGTCATCACCGAGGTCACCGGATAATGTAGACTTTTAAATCAGAAACAAACCTTCTGTAGAGCCAGGCATGTTTGTGTGTGCCTACAGTCTCAGCTACTCTGGAGGCTGAGGCAGGAGGATCGTTTGAGTCCAGGAGTTAAAGGCAAGCCTGGGCAACATAGCAAGACCCCATCTCTTAATTAAAAACAAGAAGAAAATGGGCCTTTTAGGTCATTCAGATCAACTTTTTCAGCAGACACCCAACAGAACAGAGGCCTAGCAGGTGCAGTGTGTGTTCCCCATCCCGTGTTGGTCTCTCTGTTCTAGAGTCAGATTCTGACACCCCTCTGTGATCGCAGTGCCCCTGCCTCCCAGGCTCGGTTGGAGACTCATTTCCTATGCTGGTCACCTTTGTCCTGTATTAATAGTGCCGTTTGCCCTGGGATTGGGTAGCCCTTCCCATGACCCAGGAAGCAATCCCCAGAATAGGGCTGCTACTTCCTGTACTATGATGCATGGGATGGACAGGAAACCCTTGTGGATGTTGCTTGGTGGCAGAGTGCTTGGCTCATATGCAGGAGGCCCCAGGTTTGGCAGGCAGCATTGAACAATGAAACAAAAACAAAGCCAGCACCTGGGAGGCTGAGGCAGGAGCGTTGCAAGTTTGAGTCCAGTCCTGAGAGTTTATTGACTTAGCAAGACCCTGTCTTAAAATAAAAAAATATGAGAGAGCTGGGGAGGTAGCTCAGTGTGAATGCCCTGGGTTCGATTCCCATAGTGTGAGTGGCTTTATTCATAAGAAAGATCAAGGCAGACTGGGGGTGAGAGGGGAACAGATTCCTTTTTCCCTTTGGGATGAATCATACACAAGAGAAATGAAGACACCCAGGACCCGTGTTGGCATCAGAGATAATGAAAATAGTAAATCCAAGTATGTGCCTTCTGCTGGGCGTTGTCTGCTCCTGTTCTAGTGTCCCCGACTACCTGTACCATGGTCCTTGGAAGGTTACCTAATTTCATTTGCACTCTATTTTTTTTCCAACAAAAATATAAAATGACTAATACTTTTGTATGGTTTTTTTTTTTTTTTTTGGTTTTTCTCCGGTACCGGGAGCTGAACTCACGACCTTGCGCTTGCCAGGCAGGCGCTTTGCCGCTGAGCTAAATCCCCAGCCCCTTTTGTATGGTTATTATACCAGATACCTTATTTGTAAAAAATTAAAATGGATCAGTATGTGAAAGTATATGGCATATAACAGGTGCTCAATAAAGGTGAATTGCTCTTTCTGCCCCTTTCCCTCAAAGTTGCTGGGGCTTAAAAAGTCTTTCCCAGGTTGCGAGTTGTTCACGAATTTCCACAGCAAAGCTAGAACAGTTATGATTAGAACCATTTGATAGCGTGTATTCAACTTTGCCATGTAACCTGATATCAACAGCCAGGATCTTTGTCCTGAAGGGAATTTCAATATCTGCAAAGTGGTGCCGATTTAATAACCATTAATTCTGAGAGTATGTTCAAGTTCAAAGTCTGTCTGTTTTAAATGTAAATTGCTCTTTTTCGTGTATTTTGTATTGGAATTTAGAAACAAATGCTGTCACTTTTCTTTTTCTTTGCATGGGATTGCAGGCGCCTTTATTATCCCAGAGCCCTATTATTGTGATACCTCACACAGGAAAAGCACACTCTGACATTAGGCACCAAATTGCTGAAATAGGCCGTGTTTTCCATTCATTAAAGCCCTAAAGCACTCTGCACAAATTCCCTTACTTTAATTACACACCTCAGGGATGTGCAGGCCGAAAAAGGAGCTGGGCAGACAAAATGCCAGGTCTTTGCCAAAAACCCCCGGCCCCTTAAACTGGTAAACATTTATTTTCAGTTGAGAAATCTGCTATTAATTCATAGAGTGGCTTCCCCAGCTGAAATAATGAGCCGAGCCATGTGAATCGAAGGCTCAAACGGCAGCGGGCAGCAACCCGGCTCCAGGTCCCCAGGTCTCTTCCTCGGGCAGTGGGCAGGGAGCACCAGGCGCCCGGCCGACAGCTCCACCTGCACCTGGGTGTCTCCCCTTAGCGTTTCCCTGAGCTGCTGCCAGAACGGAAAGAAGGAAGCACCCCCCGACCAAATTAGTTATTCAGGGTTTAAGCGGGCAGTCCCCCACCACCCCACTGACTTCTCTATTTTATTGAAGGCCTTTAAAACAAAATTAGAAATAGAGAGGATGGATTTGGAAGGAAAGGCCAGCTAGGGATTTTCTTGGGGAAAGTTAACAAAAATTCTAAACTTTTAAATAAAATACGTATTGTTCCATAAAACAAACTAAGGATTAAAGTACGTTAAAATAAGTGCTAACATTTTCTCAGAGAACTGCTTAAGACTTCCATTTAGTCACAAGCTTTGGAATGCGGACAATGAGGAAAGAAATAGCTACCCACACACACCATATGCATATGATAAGTAGCGTTTGCATTTCCCTTTCAAGGTCTGATTGCTCGAGGGAGGCACTCAGGTTCTAGAACAGTAAGTTGCCCTGTGTACGAACAACTCAGAACACAAAGTCATCTGCCTAGAAAAGCGTCCTTCAAGGCATCCCTGTAAGGAAAGGAGAAAAGAGGGACAGTTAAATTAGCACACGAAACAGCAGAGTAGAAGAGTCAAGAAGTCAATAGATTGATTAATTCCTATGACATGCAGAGTACCCACTTAACAGTCAATTAACCATTTAACGCATTTCTTGATACAAAGGAAGTTAAAAATAGTCCCCGATTCATCAAAGATATAATCAATAATTGCAGGTTGAATGCCTCTCACTATAAGCTTAGATGCAGGGTTTTAATCTATTCTCAAAGAAGAAAATACTTTTTATTGTCATGAAGGTGCGATTTTGATTATCACAAATGTGTGGGAAAAGCTTGCAGTGCACAGTACTTTAAAATCAGAGTTAATCACCTTCCAACCTTTTTCCTAACCGAAATTTTTACCAGAAGCATGATTTTTCTCCGTGATGAATAACTGAGTAAAATGTATGAGAATTCCTTCCCCTTTTTGTTCTATCAGAAGCAGCAACGCCCTATTAATTTTGATAGACAACTTGACATTAGCCGTCTTAAAGCCTATCCTCACATAAAGTTATACACGGATCCTTTCCCCACACTTTGGCGGGCAGAGGAGCCCTGGCCCGGCCCTCACACCCGTGAGGGGCCCTGACTCGATGGCTGGCGCACGGGCTGCCCCACCGTGCCTTGCTCCTCCCCCGCAATTACCCAGCACCCACACGGCCGCTACCTGGCCGTGCCTGTGGCCTCCACCCCAATTAGGACTTCCCTCTGCCCAGCCAATTTACCCCGGCGCCCCCGCTGGACCAGATAACTCTTTCACAAAGCGCAGAGCTCATTCCCTGCCCATCCCCCTCCCTAGCCCAACCCCGTCAATTCTCTCCCTTTTCAAGGCTTCCTCGGCCGTCCCGCCCCTCCTGGAGGCAAAGGCTTCTGCAGGAGGCTGGGCCTGCCGGTTTCCAGGCCGACGGGAGCCTGAGCTGGGGAATGTGTTGCCGCCCACCCGGGACCACTGAGGCCGCGCCGCCGGCCTGGGGTCCGAGTCGGTGCAGAGGGTTCCGGCCTGCAGGGCAGACGGCCGGAGGGCACAGGATTCCCAGGCTGGCCGGGTCGCTGTGAGCCTGCGAGGCACTGAGGGTCCTCGTGAGAGCCCCCACCCCGAGCCAACCCTGCTCCCGGGACGCGGCTGTCCCCGCCTTGTGGTTCATTGGCCACGTTCACAAACCCGAGTCTGCAAAGCCCCAGGCGCCAGGCACTGGACCGGCCAAGAGGTCGTTTTCACACTGCTGGCAAGCAGGGGGCCGAAGCAGGCAGGCCTCCACGTCCGGGAGGACAGCGGGCGCCGCCCTGGGGGCTGCAGATCAGTGCTCGGGAGAGGTGCTCAGGGCCCTGCCAGGCTCCGCCTCCGACAACCAGCCACCTGGGGTGGGAGAGCCGAGGCGGGGTGACCCGATCAGTACTTCCGCACGCCCTCAGGGCGCTTTCTCTCCTCTTGGCTCCTGACTCTTCCACCTCGGCTGAGTCCCAGCTGTCCTGAGCGCCAGCTCCGCCCTGGCTGCGCATTGCCCGCGGCTCCCTGGGGCTCCTATCGCCATGGCAACCGCATGGCCTGGATTTTTGGGACACTTGTATTCCGAGTATTGTATCATGTGGTCAAACCGTGTGTCAGACCGTGTGCCGCAGAGATGCCCCGGCCTGGGTTTGGGGGACATGGCGCTGTAACCGCTGGCCACCCCCTCCGGGTTACTGCAGCGGCCCCCGGCCCCGGCGCTCCCAGCGGGCCCGCGCCCGCCTGCGGAGAGGAACTAGAGCAGGGATGTCCTTTGGATTTCACAGAGAAAGCTGGGGCCAGGGTCCTCAACGGAGGCACTGTCCCTCTCGAGATGGCGCGGGCCGCAGCCCAGCCTGTCTGTGACGTCGTCTCCAACCCTCGTGTCGCTTCGTGCTCGAGGCTGGTTTGCCGTCCAGGTCCCCAAGGACTCTTTCAGGGCAACTTTTGCGCGCGGGAGACCAACTCTTCCCTCACTGATGTTTCCTGTCAAGTCACCAGGTTCAGCACGGGCTGGGGCAGCGGAGACGGTACAGAGAGGGCGTGAAAGGAAGGGCGCAAGGACCCAAGGACAGGAGAAAGCAATTCGGAGAATCTGCGCCACAGCTGCACGAATGACACTTCTTAAAGATAAGCTGCTTTAGCACAGGTCCAGCAACGCTTGCGAGCATCTGCCTCTTAGTATTTTACTGACATTCCTAAAAACAGTGTCATTCTGTTCGCTTCTTCCTAGCTGCCCTGTTGTGTGGTGGAGACCTCAGGGATGCAGATGCGTTCTCTCCAGGCCTGTTCTGGAGGCTGCAGATCCCGCCAGGGATAGCAGCTGTGCAGGACTGCGGGACCCTAGAGTGCATGGGGCTGCTCCCCTGGGAGTGGCCAGAGGCCTCCCGAGGACAAGAAGGTGGGAGAGAGAAGACCAGGCCGGCTGGAAGCTGACACTGGCCCTGCTGCTCTTGGGAAGGGGTTGGAACCATATTCTTGTATTCACTGTAGTCAGTCATAAAACTAGCAATAACAGCTAATAGTTCTTGCTTTTTGTACTAACTGCTAGCTATTTCATATGCAGGATCACCTTCCATCTGCACAGTCTTTAAATGCTTATTATTATTGTTATTCCCATTTTAAAGATAAAGGCAACTATTCAGGAGGCTGAGGCAGGAGGATTGCAGGTTCTAGGAGACATAACCAGACCCTATCTCAAAAAAAAAAAAGAAAGAAAGAAAAAAAGAAAGAAAAGAAAGGAAGAAAGAAGAAAAAAGTAGGAAGGAGAAAGAAAGGAGGAAGGAAGAAAGAAATCGAAACTTTGAGAGGAAGAGGAGCTGCTGACAGTCATGTAGACAAGGGATAGGAAATCAGAATTCAAGCTCAGATCTACTCTTTGTTTTGCAGTGCACCTCAAAGGACTATTGAATATTGCTCTTCTTGGTTCAGAGTTGTTCAGTAATAAATACCTTCTGAAACTCTTCAAGTATCATCTGGGGCTCAGAATACCTTTTTTGGTATCTATGTAAGGGGTGTAACATCAGGCTTGAAAAAAAACCAGCATCAAGCTTGAGAAACTTGTCCTGATATGCAAATGAGCACATGCATCATCTCATCTACTCACCGTGTGTGGGTACATGTGTTTGCGTGTGCACGTGCACGTGTGTGTGTGTGTGTGTGTGTGTGTGTGTGTGTATTTCGTAAGAGCACTTCAAGTCCACTCTCTTGGCAAATACCATTACACAATGCACTTAACTGTAGCCCTCACATTGAATACTAGATCTCTAGATCTATTCCTTCTAAATAACTTCAGCTTTTGCCTTTGATCTGAATCTTACTATTTCTCCACTTTATTCTGTTTCTATGTATTGGATTTTTAAAACTTAGAGCACTTTATGCCAAATGAAATAACCAAGCCACACAGAGGAAAACTGTAGTGGAGTCTGAATCCTGAGAGCCGTAGAAAGTCATAGAAGCCATTGAAAAAAGAAATTTTTAGGTAGGTTTCTTTTAGTAAAATAATGCAATTTTTCTCCTGAACCCAATTCTTACCCTAAAGGCTCAAATCTACAGAAACAATGCTCTGGGTGAAATATCAGAACTCCTGGGTGCTATTTGTATAGCATTATAAAAGTTTTGACCCTCTAGAAATGTTCAGAATCAACTTTCAAAGTGAGGGCAAGCGCCCTTACACACCTGGTCCTGTTGGCTGAGCATCTCTACTCGAGGTCCATGGCCTCACCCAGGCATGGGACTGTAACCTAATTGCAGAGGCAGAGCCGGAAATAGGACTAACGAGCACTGGCTGGGCAGGGATGGAAACAATTTGTTATTGAGCAGAGAAGAGGTCTAAATTCCAATTGTTGGATCTTCAGTCTCAGTGTTCTACCAGAAATGAACTGGTGAGGCTGTAGAATGCGGCCGGACCTTTTCTGCCTAAAAGTTTGCTGTGATGCACTCGCTGCCTGGGATTTTCTTTCGCTGTGACGTTAGTCAGGATGGAACTCCTGTGACCCGTGATGTCTGCATCGCCATTGTTTCCCCGAGAGGAGAGAACTGCGAGTCAGCAGCAGGTACCTCGCAATCATCAGACGTAAGGCAAACACTTCAAAGCCAAAGTAGATGAGTTGCCTCACACTATCTTGTATTGCCTTTTAATTTAAGATTAAACTTTATTGTACGGCTAATGCTGAGAAAAAACAAAATATTTAAATGAGATATAGTGATATTCTCTTATTGTTGGTTTATACCTATAAATCATCAGTTCTTAAAATGATAAACTAATTTAAAAATATTTATTAAATAAATTTATTTATTAAATAAATTAATGAGTGGGTTTGGTGCTGGATGTGGTGGGCTCTGCCTCTATTCCCATCTACTCAGGAGGCTGAGGCAGGAGGATCAAAGGCCAGCCTGGGCAACTTAGCAAGTCCCTCTCAAAATAAAAAATAGGACCACTGGGATTAGCTCCATCGTAGAGAGCTTGTTTAGCATGAATGAGAGAAGGCTTTGCATTTCTTCCATGTGCCTGGCATTGGGTTGAGGTCCAGGGGTACAGTAGAGGATCGATTTGGTTTAATTTTGGAGGAGATGTGAAGGTACAGACGTGGGCAGGAGGTGGGCTGGAAGGGGCATGCACAGCCTTCCCAGGGGGGTCAGGGTGCTGTTATCAGAGCCTCCTCCAAGTCACCTGCTTATACGTGGCCACATGGTGCCTCCTCCACACTTTACACGCCCCGCAGTCCACAGCAGCATCAGTTCCTTATTCCCTTCCCTGGACTGACTTCGCTAGGGGGATTTGTAGTTTCTTCTGTCCTCAAGTTTGGCACGTTTGTGTCCAACTCAGAATGCAAATTCCTCAGTGCACCCCAGGCTTGGAGAGCGAGGGCTTGGGCTGGGTGGTGAGGAGGGCAAGGGGCGGGAGGGTTTGGAAAGCAGCTTCTCTCCAATGCCTGTCCTCCCACTGCCCCGCACCCCTCCGCTCTGTTCTATTTCTGCCATGCAGTGAAAGCGGCCCAGAGATGCTGGCTGCCGCTGCGGGGCCAGCAGAGTTTGGGTGACTCAGAAGACAGCCATATGGCATTCCAGCATTCATTCTCTATGTGCCTGAAGCGCCACTATGAAGGAAAGGAAGATTTAGATTTGCAGCTGTTTGTCTATTTCCTATCCAGACCAACACGGTAGTTTCATTCAGGAGAGTTTAAACAGCTCTCCCCTTACGGGGTTACTCTGCCAATTGAGTGTGTGTGATACTGGGGGTGGGACGCAAGGCTGTCACACTGAGCTATTTTTAAAAACTTTGGTTTTATTTTCTTTGTCATTTTGAGACAGAGTCTTGCTAAATTGCTAAACTGTCCATGTTGAGATTGAGCTTGTGACCCTCCTGCCTCAGCCTCCCTGAGTCCTGGTATTACAAGTGAACCAGCACACTCCAGCTCTGCCAAATATTTTAGAGACCTCGAAGAAGAGTGCCCGGCTAGGGTTGCCAGGTAAAACACTGGATGCTTGGTTAAATTTAAATTTCATGAGTATGCTCCATGCAATATTTGGATCATGCTTATACCCTCTTCCCCAAAGTGCCACCAAGTGTTTTTATTGGCTAAATCTGGCAGTTCATTGCCTTGGCAATGGGCGCCAGAGTCTTCCAGCTGTGGTCTGAGTGGGTAGGTCAGGGGAGACTGTAGTGATACTATTGTGACCAGTGTCATGTTATCTATAGCAGACGCTGGTAAAGCACACACCAAATACCCACATGCTCAGGAGAGCTGTGCTAGTTACCCTGCCACGTTAGCTCAGTGAACGTGCTCCTTCCGACCTAGGGAGACAATAAGAACAGGACAGCGTCACCAGGGAGAAACCAGATGAAAGGAGAAGGAAACGTAGAAACGTGAGGGACATCAAAGGCGTGTGTATCTCTGCTGTGCGGACAGCTCGCTGTTAGGAGCTCACACAAGACCACAGACATTTCACCCTGGTCACCCGGCAACTGCTGACCTCTTCTGTTTGGTCACAAAACAATGACTCATGAGTGAAACGATCTCCACTTCACTGACTTCCAGAATCATCTCAACCGCTCAACTCTGCACAACTTTTCACTGGGTGAAGATTCTTTGTGTCCATACACAGGTACACGCATGCACACATGGTACATGTGTGCACAGGGCATATGTGGGGGGCACATGAGTGCATACACAGCACATGCATTACTGTGCATCGGTATGATCAGAGACGCCTTTCCCGGGGTTGTGCAGACCGGACCTGGTCAATCTGCCATCAGCAAAGATTGGTTTGTTT